AAAATGTCAATATTGCTTATTTGTTTAGGTGTTTTGGGTATGGATCATTAATGCTTTACTACATTCATCTCTCCTCTACTGGTTATCGTTAATGGCTCTAAAGGAAGATGTAATATGGGGAAACGGTAGAGACGGTGGATACATCGTCTTGGGAAATTTTGTGTATACTGTAGGTTTTAAATTACACACTGTAGTATTATCACTTCCTAAAGAACGATTGTTGGATTTATGTTTGTTACTAGTATGTTGTAGTGACGGTATGCGGAAAGGCGGGATTAATAATAAATTCTTGGACGTGGGTCACTCATTTAGCAACGTGGGGATCTATTTTGCTTTGGTTCTTATTTATTTTTATATATAGGTAAATTTCACGATATATTTATGCGTTATTTGTGTTGGAGATACTCAACGGCACGCTTACGAATTTGTTTGATTTCAGTAATTTCTGGCCTGCATTAAATGTAGGTGCTGTAATGGTAGGCAATGATAGAATGCTGTTTTCTTCGCCTGTCTTTTGGTTGGGTTTGGTACTTATACCGTTAGCAGTATTGCTTCTGGATGTTACCGTTAAAGCGTAAGTATATCTCTATTAAATAGCTCGATAGTGTAATATTATGGAACGAAGTTATATATATTAATTGTTTCGTAAGTACACGCCAAATATGTATTCTGTTACAGAGTGAAAAATACGGTGTGGAAGTCCGTCACCGCGGCAGCCAGAGAAAACGAGATCAGAAAGTCGGACCCTGGAGACATATTCAACAGTCACGACTACAGAAGCTCGTAAGTTGTTCATACGAACAAATTTAACTTATTAGGATAACACAGATGACTATTAACAAACGTTCAGATTTCATCATTTAACGAATGTTATACATGCAGGGTCGAGAAACTGCACTTCGTAACTAATATCAACGCGTAACATAGTATCTTTAGGATGGCTACTAATTGGCAAATAACGGAACACACGACAGTATACACATTGCATGGTATACTGATAGGTTAACCTCAAAAAAAAAAAGAAAAAAAAAAAGAAAAAAAAAGAAAAAAAAAAAGAAACAGTCATTCGTTAATGTTTAATATGCATGGCTTATTAATTGTAGTTTGTTTAGCAAGTTTGTAATAGTAGCAGGATGCAACAGTAGATTCCTATTAAATTTTCAAAATTCGAAGTAAACAACGTAACAACTTAGGTGCATGTACATAGCGCTGCATTCTTTCAGACTTTATAAAAATAGCATTTATTGTTTGCTTTTATAATACTTTTTTTGTAAACTCACCACAATTAATATCACCAAATATTTTAATAACAATAGTACAATTAATATTTATCGCATTTCCATTGAGTAGAAAAATAAAACTTGCAACAGGAGGTCGAAGTCACGTTCGTGGAGGCGATGGTTAATTTGGTGTTGGACCGCGATCTGTTCGCCACGAAGGCGAAATAAAATCAGACTCCACCCATTTGTTCCGCGCAATTACTGGTTCACCAATCTTCCAGAGCACCACCCGCCTGCACATTTCCGTACTCTATCTCCCTAACGAATTCCTACCAAATGTGGATCCCGTAAGCATTCCAATACCTTACCTCTTTACCTCCCTTTAAAATCTTCCTACTGTTTAATACGTGCCAACTATTCTTATACACGTGGACCATACGTTTCTCGCCTTGCTGTGATTATATTATTATTTTGTACATATGTAGGACAAAGTCTATTATATATTTATGTACACATAAGGCAAGTCATGTTTTCTTCCCCTTCTACCAATTAGAAGTAAAATCGTGTTTGAGTAAGATGTAAGTTTAAGGAACACCTAAAGAAAGGAAAAAACTCGTACATTTTATTTATTAAAAAATACTCGTTCCTATCATTAGTATGGAATTAGTAGTTACTATTTTCATTTATGCACGTTAATTTACATTTTGTTGATGAGTAGACTTGCGTTGAATAAGGCGTAATCAGAAACAATGTAAATAGTACAGATTTTATCTTGAGAATACACTTATTCTCCGTTAAGATCACTAAACACTCGCTAGTATAAAATCACGTACTGTTTGTTAATGTGGTTTTCTGGTATGTTTTATTCGCGGTATCCCGTGAAGGCCTGTGCATGCCATCGCCGACCTCGCGAGGTGTAAGTACCCCTAGTAGTACGTAACTCGTAGCGCTCCTATAATTTTACACTTTCAGACGAAAGCACTGCTAGTTAATCAAACCGCATGATCGTTCAACGTTTTGCTTTCGAGGGCACCGCAGGTATGCGCAACTGCTATCACGTATTTTACTCATAATACTTTAATACTATTCGCGATACTTTACGGGGGAACACCACCTTTGTGTTGTTTCAATATAAAAGTTGTTAAAAATATGAGCGCAAGACAAAATTAGATCGGTCGAAACTGTGAAGGTGGTGTTCATCTTAATATTCTTTCAGTATCAAGGTGTTCAAGGTTATTGGGTAAAAACTGAGAGCTGCCGCGCTTCTGTGGAAAGTAATGTTGAAAAATCTGTTTAACTTTAAGCTCTGTCCTTAGATCTTGAGAATCTATATATCCCAGAGCATTTCTCAGTTCTTGTGAACATAGTTATCTCTAGCAGTTCTAACTGTAAGAATCCAACCGGTGAAAGTCACGAGAATCTGAAAAAATTCTTGGTATCATTATTTTCCATAGAAGGTCGAAAGAGGCATTACGTACAGAAAGTTTAGTACCGCAAATTACTAGCAAACGATCAACTCTTAGAGATCGAGAGAGGCTCAGGTCATCGACCTTTCAGAAGCCTCGAGTATGTTAAAAGACATGTTTTGGATATGCTGGACTCATCGGTGTAAGACTTATCTAACAGGTTTTGCCTCAGACGTGGCACTGTTCAACCGTTTGAATGACATACCTAACGGCGTCACATCTAAAGCAAGGTCTGCAAGATAAGCTGTGACAACGCATACAATTAGAACCATCTTTGTGCCATAACTATTGATATTGCTGTGAAGCGACTCTAAGTGTCTACAAATTTCTTATCTATCTTTTCTGTGTTAATTGGCTTGCCTGATCCACTCCGAGTTAGGATAACAATTGCACCGCATGCATCACTATAGATAAGCAATCATCGGATAGATTGTCAAGAGAAGGGAACGCGCGACAGTTATCGATGATCGATTCAAAAGTTCTCGAGGCAAACTAATATTTAATAGTATGCTCGCGTTCGTCGACGTATACCATTTGAACTGTGCTGACGAGGACGACCAACGTTCAGTCGAGAGTTTCTAAAAGAATTTTTGAATGCACGGCTTTACAGATTGACGGAGACGGCACGGCTACTGAAAAACGTTAAAAGTGTTTTCACCAGACGATCGAACGCCGCCTCCAGAGTTAATGTCGAGGTGGAGCTATCACGTAAGTTGTTTTGTCTACGCAAGAGGCTGGTATTGAGAGAGAAATTTAACAACAATCTTAAAATACTTACGAGTGAATCAATATTGTACAGATACTATTCTTTTCTAAGCTCGTCGTACGGTACCTTCTTTTTCTTTCTAATGAACATAACCGAAAGCACGCGCTTCAGTCTTCACGGCTTTCGCCTATTCCAGATGGAAAGAAATCTTTCAATAGGCAAATAATTCGTCACGATAAACGCACTTGCACTATTTTCTGTCACGTCTAACAGTGTACATATATGTTATTAGATTATAGCGTAGACTACCAGTTTTACTAATCTTTTTAAATAATGGATCATAGGGTGTCGGTGTAAATATTAATACAATTTTTGTATCCAGCCATTGACCATTTATTTTAGAGGTTCATAAATACTCAGTGGCTAGAAACGTGTGTTATCTACTACTAACCATTAGTGAGACTAATTCTCCACAGTAAAAGTGATTAAGCCCGAGTAACATTCCCAAGTAGAAACTTTTAATCTTTCAAGCACGACGCTGGAGTTCACGTAAACTTTCGTACCAGATAATTTAAAAAATATGTTGAAAGAAAATTGTAATTTAGAAAATACGTGCATACGTATGACATCTACAGCTGCTTTTGGACGCAGAAGTGCAACTGTGCAAGTGTCCTGTTTGCAGGATTAAGATTTACAAGTAGAACTCCAGTTCCGATCCCCTCTCTAACTCTTTATCGGACAATACCACTAACGATCCCGTAGATCTTGCATGTACGCTAACAAATTTCCTGTTCTAACAACAGACACTAATGGGTTGCGCTCTTTATTATTGCACATGCTGCGCGATGCAGATGGATTTGCATTCTCTCAAGAGGAAGGAGGCTCGGTGACCCAGACGGACGTGATCAGAGCTTACGACACAAATCTTCCGAAACCTGGCGGCATGTGATCTTAATAATAGCGAAAGAACTTCAAAGATGTTATATTATAAACAAGGTACCTCTTCTCAAGCCGATCAAGAAACCGAAAAATAGATGCGTTTCGGGAACCTCGGTACTCCGCCAAGCCCTACGTAACGCCTGTCTACGTTTCACGACTGAATCGATGTTTTAGCTCGTTTGCCTCTTGAACAGGGGCTTAAATGGTTTTTGATCGACGATGGGCCTCAAAACGAATAGTATTAGCAAGACTATCAAAACGACGATCCAATTCGTTCGATGAAATTATAAACACGGTAACCGCGCGCGCGAAGAACAGATAGGGAACTCCGACTATATCCTAGATAATTCTTTTTGATACTCTATGAGATTTATTGTATTTATAGCGTTACCTCGAACCTGGTCTTGTGAAACCTTATATATATATATATGTATACTCGTCCGTGATAACTCTTGTTGCTATCGTGCATTTTTCGATGCAGTGCATTTGTCAGCGCATTTCACTTTCGTTTGAAAATTATAGGGAGTGTCCCTTTGCTGGGACGCGCTTCGAATTTTCGTTTAATTTTTTTTCGTAGACCAACGGGAACGCACGTTTTTGAAAAGAGATATTGATTAGAAGGAGGAACCACGAAGATCATACGATAGGTGGCGAAATTTGATTGTCCAGCTGGCGATACGTAAGGCGAGTTCAGTATTCAATCGTGAACGTTTCTTTTAAACGTGTACTACATAAATTAGAAAGAAAAAAAATAGAAAGAGACGGTGTATGAACAGTCGTACAAAAATCTGTCGTCGAGCACACTTTCGAGTACAGGCTATCCATGGAAAGTAATAAATTATATTTTTCAAACGAAGCAAAGTATATATCGCAGCTCCTGTCGATCGCGGTCGTAGGAGGACCACGTTCAAGATCGTGCCAGAAAAAGACTGTTCCCACTTGTCCTACGTCGTTCGATGGATTTCATTAGTTGTTTTACTTTTTACCGTCGACTATGTATATTTTATTATTGTACATACGATGATTGCGTTGTTATCTAGTCAAAGAATTTAATGTGGACATTTCCGTACGTGGATCACTCTTCCGCCCATCGCGAATACTCATTTTTTTAAGTTTACGACTGATCGAATTTTAATAGAGAAATGATACGTGCATATGTATAGCAACAATTATATAAATATATCTATATTCTGTTCGGAATAAAATGATGATGGAAGAAACTTGGTTATCTTTTCGCAAACTGTTCGATATATGGTTAGGCCCGTTCGGGTATGCTTTCGAGAAAATCTTGTACAAGTGGATCAGAAATTTTTATTGAAACGATAATAAGTATGCCAGTACAAAGCACATGTAGATACACTGTTCCAGCAAGCGATTGATGTATATAAAATGTATATATATAAATTTACTTAATTTCTACAATTCTTTTACGTCTTTTTTATTTGTTTGTCGTTCTTGAGTTTCACTTAATTCGTATTGTTATTGTAGAATACAGCGTGCCTCTCATCTTGAATGACGAGATCGATATCGATGGATTGCCCGAAGAGTGCATAGGATTCCATTGCGAAACCTGAACATTCGCACGGAAGACTTTATTATTAGCCTAACGATGCAATTTTTATATACATACATTATCTAGTTCGTAATCGAATGGATTAATAATTACGTAAGAATCCACTTCGTTATCTTCCTCTTCCTATCCGTCGATGATAATGCAATGCCAACTATTTCAAATGTTCTCGTTCAAGTTATCTTCGATGGTTCCAGTTTGAGGCTAATGAAAAAGTTCTCTCGATCCTCTCTGTATCGAGTTTTCAACAGAAATTCATGCGTGAACGAGTGTCCTGGGAAATCGTAACCACGAGAACATCTCTGACAATCCGTCAGCCAGGACACGACGTCGAGGACCCGTCTCATCCTTGGCTCCATGTCCCTCAATCTCTCCTCTTCTTTAGCGAGGGCTCTACGTTTCAGGACAACGTTATACCACCGGTAAAAATATTTCCACGCTAAGTCCTGATCTCTCGACGTCCACAACAAATCCTCTCCCTCCTCGTAGATGGTTTTCTGACTTTTTTTATACTTCATTTTGGTGAAAACCGACACGAGGATACGTTTACTTAAACCATGTCTCTGTTCTAAATCCTGGTTACGTTTCAGATTCGAAGCATCCTTATTTACGTTAGCAGACCCTGTGTCCTTCGAGCATTGAACCGTTTTTTCTTGTACGACGCAGAAGTTATTGCACTTTCGATGTCTTTCCATGCTACTCATGCCGAGAATTCTATCTAAAAGACTACCAACGTACGGCATACAAGGTGGTTCCCTTTCCGCCTTAGACCAGGCTCGTCGATACGCCAAACTCCATGGACTTTTGTAAATCTTGCAGAGCCTCTCCATGGTCTCGTACCTAGAACGTCGAAATAGTTCGTACAATAAACCGTTTGCGAAATATTGAATCTATATAAACTATTGCGAACTTCATCGACGTATTTTACTAAATGTCATACAAATGTTTACTACGCACTTCAGAAACATTCTGTGTAGTAGAATCTCTGTAACGACAGGTTAAATGTATATTTCGTGGAAAAAATATAGCGAGGTAAAAGTAACGCGAGACTTTTATTGTTTTCGGGTGTCGTTTTCTACAGCACTATAATCCTTCCACCCAGTACACTTATCTGTTCAAAGGACATCGCACCTGGTGGCATGGTGGACACGTAAATAAGACCAGCTGCTTCGCAACCTGTAAATCGGAGGCGCTTGCAGCCCTGCCAAAATGGACCTACACGAATGAAAGTTTCCCATAGCGAAACACTTGCCAGCCGCGTTCACGAGCCTCGCGATGATTCTAGCTCTGACGCGTAACCTTTTGATCGTGAGAATCTCGCTGACAACGAGACAAGAAATCCTGTGGCTGAACGCTATCCACGCTGCCAAATTAGGAGTATTTCTGGAGCTCCTTTGGAAAACCAAAATCTCGATCTCTTCAGCGGGGATCCTGACGAAGAGATCGCGATCGATCATGGTCAACTGCGTGGCCAGAGTGGTGCTGTCTATGTCCCAGATGGTGATCCTGAAATCCATTCTCAGCAATTTCCTCAGCTGAACCGTGCTATTATTCTCCTGATCCTCGCATTTCCTCTTCCTCTTGCCAGACCCATTCCCTGAGAAGATTCGTTCGAAGAAGCTAGGCTTCTCCTCGGCGGCGATGATGGAGTCCTCCTCGCACTGGCATTTTCTTCTCTTTGAGAACAATTTTCGTTTCATTGGACGTTCCTTCTCCTGACGATAAGTCTGTAGGTGGCTCAAGTGCTGTCTCAGCTCCCTGTTGCAATACAATTGGTAAGATTCGATCGCGGTATCAAGTGGCGCATTATACATCCATGAGACCCAAGATAAAACGAAATTTGTGGGCCCCATCTAACGAGAAAACGAACAGTAATTACAAAATACAAGTACCTTTTGTTTATGGTATAATGCGCCACTGTGGATATCATCTTTGGATATCAACTACCTGTAGGCAGCAGAGGCAGGTCTGGGCCTGTACCAGTATTCAGGGGTCCAGAATAATATCACGCGTCCTCTAGCAGTGGTTCCAACGGACCCAAACCTCCCCGATTGCAGAGCCGTGAAGGAAATACTAGCTGCCAGCTGACGCCGCGATACAGGGAGTCTCAGCTCGTTGTCAATTGGCTGACGACGAATAGCGACCAGGCTGAACGATCTGCGTCCTTGTAGAGAGCTTCGTTCGCCAGGTTGAACACTCCAGGGTCCCAATCCACGAAGAAAATGCGCTGCTGTGCAAAGGCCATATCTTCTGAAATGTCTGAGACGCTTCGAGGACCTGCAACGACCTTTCTCATCGCCTTCCCAGACCTTCACACCGTCCTCCACGAGAGCGTAAAAGTTCTGCACGCGCTTTGCTTCCGATCTCGCACGTTTGGAATCCCTGAGCACCAGCCCCGAATGACATTTTTCTGGTACTCCGAATCCGAAACGCGAAATCCTTCCCGTCAACTGTTTCTTCGGATTTTTCGAATCTACGCGACGATCGTCACTGTCCTTCTTCCGTGAGGTCTCTTCCAGGGCCTCGTCTTTGTACCACACGTTGCGTTTCTCGCTAACTTTGTGGTCGTTGATGATTTTGTCTTGCAAACGACCGCAGGGACAACTCTGACGGGTCGTGAAGAACTTGCTCGTGTTATAGTATTTACGATTGTGGTCTCTGATAAATAAGACATCGCACAGGCCACCGTTTTGAATATTCTGATCTAAACAGTAGCAGGTTGGCCAGCTGCGACTAGCTTTCTCGACTCTACAGGGAGAGAGGTCTTTTAGGGCACTCTTTACATCCTTCAAGCTGGCGCCAGCGAATCTTACAGGAACTGGAGCGTACTTGCCACTAGATAATTCATCATAAGAAGGTCCGAGATAGAGGTCTTTTTGAGTCCACGTTGGGGCCGCGTGGTCCCCAGCACCGCCGTAGTGCGCCCATACTCTGCACTTGTTAAAAATGTGTTAATCTTAAAGTGTGTACGAACGGAAGTCTTTGAGTTTTAAAACTTCAAAGATTCATACATCGTCATTTTTATACATCGCTACCTTGCAGCTAAGTATCGAGCAATATAAATGAATAATATTACCTGCACACTGCCTCCTTTCCTTCAGTTTTAGCCTCTTCCTGGATCTCGATCTCCGACGAAAGAATATACAACGTCGTGGAGCTCGAAGAACTCGCAGCTGTGGTCTCCGATAACGAGCTCCTGTCCATCCTCCTTGCGAGCAGGCTGTCCACTTCCTCGCACCATTTCTTCCAACAAATTTTCCTCCTTTGCATACCGCCAAGCTCGTAGTAGTTCGCCCTTCCGTCCACGAATCTAATCGCGTCAACGTCGGTCAGATATAAAACGCCAGCGTGAAATCTTAATCCGCGCGTCACGTTGCGGCGACTCTGAAGGAGAGTGGCTATTAGTCACTCTGTACAGGACAGTTTCATTTGAATCGTTATAAAAGTGCTGCAAGTTTATTTTATTTAAAAGAATTTGTCTCGGCTCAAAAGTGAATGGACTTGCGTTACTTTTACAACGAAAGGATTGTCTATCAACGAACTGTCTACCTTGCCTTTAATGTTTTGCGATGTCTCCTGTTGAACACGCTCAGGGTAACGTACTGCAAAGGATACACCGAGATCAGCTCGAAGGTCTCGATGGTTGGGTCGAGGCCACGCGGACAGAAGTACTCGCAGTTGTTCTTGAAGACGTCCGCGGCTATGATTAATTTGGAGGGCGTGAGACCAAGGGAAACCTGACGGATCCCTCGTCCGTTTCTGGTGGTCTCAGCGAATGGGGATTCCACGAGGATGGTATCAGAGAAGTCAGAATATTCGGAGGCCAACAGCTTTTTAATTCTGTTGCACTCCATTTCGCGACACCTCGTTCGTCGACTAGGAGTGTGGCTTTTGCGCGACGCGTGCATGATGTACAATTTTCGTTCGGTGTGCAGAGAGACAGACGGGTCGTTTAGACGAGATTTTTCAAAAGAATTTTTCAAAAGCCCCGAACCGACCGATGATCGCGAGGTTAACGAGCCCCTAATGAATGTATGCGATCAATTGTAAAAATAATTCTCGAATAACTTCTCGACGGTCAGGTGACTGGAATAATTTGAATTTTCATTGCATCGATAATGGTACGACGTTAAATTGCAGTAGGATAAAGTTGAATCAAATCAATTGGTCATCATTATCTCCATTAGAGCGTTTAGCTCTTAAGCCACTATATCTCTAGTTTCTTCAAGTAAATCTCCAAGATCGCGCTTTTTCTGAATCAGGGAGAAAGCATAGAAAAATTGTAGGAGTAATCGAACGTGACTCACTGTTGAGGAATTCAACGACAAACTCCATTTTTATTAACTATAACCGCAAATCGTAACGTTATCAACGATAAAACCGATTGTGTAGCGTCATTCGAAAGGTCGATTAACTACCACAACACGATTTCTACATTAGTAGAATATATTGCGAATTACGTCGTGTTTGGTCTCATTTTAATTAGCAAAATGTCAGAAATATGATGGTAATAGTTTTACAACAATAATGGTAATAATAAAAAAAGTTTGATCGTTGCATTAACATTGTCTCATCGAGATATCCGATCCCGGATCATGTTACTGTCCATTTATCGTAGAGAAACTTTTGCATTTAAGGAGACTGTTGAATTATATACTGTTGCATATGATTACACACTTTAATAAATAACGAAACGGAACGGTAGGATTTCTTTATTATGGAAGAAGGTGAAGTAAACACAGAGTCTACATATCGGTGTCTTTATTTTTCAGTTCGATGCCTTCATCGAGTTCTACGACTCGTACATCAAAATCTGTGACGGTGGGGACTAAGTTCAAAGACACGGGCCTACGTGGTAAAAGATTTCGCAGTGCCTTATCTCGGTTAATAAGGATTATTAGCCGTTTTTTTTTGTCCTCCTTACTTGCTATAATACGATAATAAATAACATGTAAAAAAAGACGTACGGATAAAAGACGTAAAAAAGAAGCTCGCCAATAGGGGGAGCGCTCTTTTGTCTAGAATATAATCGATGTAAGGTTTCAAAAGAGCGTGCAAAAATGTACATTGTGGCAGAGGTACAAGGTGGACTCTCCTAATCGATTCGTCCGACTTAAACGTTAAGCTAGGTTCTTTATCGATTATTATGATCGGGGTTCACTTTGATGGTGACTTTGTTCAGAGCGGACGCGAGCTTCTCGATGTTACTCTGAGGCAGCTTCCCGGGCTCCGAATTCGTTGTCTCGTTGTTGGACGTTGGTGCGTTCTCGGGGATCGGCTTAATACCTGCTTGCGGTTCCTGAAATGGCAAATTTAAAAACATTGTACCATTCGTAACTGAACGAACCATTATATTTTCTTCGTAGTTTTCTAAAATTCGTTTTCTAAAATTCAGATAATCTAAAACAGAATTTATGTATTATTCGTATGCACCTAACGCGAATCCTCCGTCTATCTACTCTAGTCTCATCTACATTACAATAGCATTGTTCTCCAACAAACGTGTTATTAACATAATTTCTGGTGCCTCCAGTTGTCCTTAACGACGGCGTTCAAGCGTTTACGTACTTTCCAAGATACCTTCTGTATGCTTCAAGTTTTCGTGACTAAACTGTCCAACGTATAATCCTAACGATCCTAACGATCCTAACGTATAGTCCAACGATGAAACTCACCCCCTCAGTCTTTCTTCTTAAGTTCGATCTCTCCAACGTGGCGGCGAGCTCGTTCTGCAGCCTGGACACCACAGGTCCGTTCGCCAGCTCGTTGGTCCCGTTCCTGTCGACGCGATTCTGCTGAGACAAGAACTCCAGCTTAGACGGTGGTTTAGCCTCCCCCTCGTAGGCGCCTATCCTAATGGCGACCTTTCCACCCGTTGGCTTTGCGATTTGTGCGTTCATAGCTGGCGGCGGTGGCGGTGGCACGGTTGACTTCGACATCTCCGATACGGGACTCATCGAGGCCTCCTTTCCGTTAGCCACAGGCTTGTTTCCGGTCCCAGTGTGCCGTGGGCTTCCGTTCACGGTCATCGTCGAGTTCTGCATGGGGAAGTACGTGGATGGTGGCTTTGGAATTACTGGATTTGGCGTTTCCTTCAGCTTGAAGGACTCGATGCTCTGCATCTCCACGGACTCCTCGTTGCTCTTGGACTTGGAGAGTAGAGGAAGTGGCGGAGGTGCTGGTGGAGCTGGGGGTGTGGGAGGTGTAGGAGGAGCTGAGGAGACCGGGGGTGCTGGAGGCGCTGGCGGGATGACAGGTGTCGCTGTGTTCAGCACCCTCTTCTCTTGTTCCTGGTGGCGATAGAATAGTTTCTTTAACTCTCTATTGCGTAATGTTTCTAATAATGGTTAATACGATAAAAATAATTTCTATGGGTTTCGATAAAGAGTCTGGTAGCTTCGTGGATTTAAGCACTAATTGTTTAGGTCGAGTAATTAATACACCTTGCAAATATAAAGGTGTGCTTTATATTTTCTAGTTTCAGTGTACTGACGAGTTTATTTGAATTTGAAAAAAAACAACTTCTATTGCAGTTATGTTAATATATGTAGTGCGATAGCAGGTAGATAGAAGCCTATCTTATTGCACGATAACGCGAGGCCTTGTGCATCAAGAACGACGTTGGATAATATTTACCGAAGTACAACGTTTCATCGATAGTTCGCCAACAAATGTTCTTAATTAATATGAAAATAGCCGACAGGCACATGATCGTTCTTATCAGCACTTCCGCCTCGCGATATTAATTTTTCTCAGGCATACACGAATTAGATGCACCCATACATGTTAATTAAGTTTGATTAGATTGATAACTAACGCCGTATGGAGTGATGGTGACCAGGACGCGGCTCCTTTTCTGTTCACCGTTCCTCATTAAATTGTTCATCGTGAGTTTCTAAATGCTATCTATCATTCTCCGATTAACTTTCCATTCCGTCGGCGTGTCGATACGATCTCCTTTTCACTGAATTGATAACGGTTGATTACAGGCGTACGTTTGCAGTTAATAATTTTTTATAAATCACTCCGAGCCGTATTAATTAACGGGTTCGAGGAAAAGTTCCCATTAACTCTTTGCAGCACGGGGTGGTTGACCGTCTAGAAAATGGTCCACTTAAATCAACCCTTTCTAGATTTTAATCGCAGTTACCAAAAGTTTGCAATGATCACACGTTTGCGCCTGCTCGCAATTTTCTATGCGTCCTAACACTTTTATTTTCGTCTGTTTCAGCTTTATCGCGCACTTAAGGCCTCGACGCTCGGATTCTTGGCCAGGTAAAGGTAAATCGAGGTAAACTCGATTGTAATTCACTGTTCCTTGGACGAGCACTCGGAGAACAATCGTTCCGGGACGCGAACTGTCAGTTTTTTCCGAATTACAAGTCGCTTGGTCGGCGCATTTTGCACGCTAATCGCTGCTTCGCGTTTTCGTTAATCACAGTCGCGCGCTTTGCGGTAATCCCGGTGCGGCCGCCTTGAAACCGATCGCACGCCGCGAGTCGACTGAAAACAGTCACGAGAGTCGTCGCTCTTATGTAACCTCCTATTATTTTTCACGTCTGCCGCAATTTGCGAGAAGCCCGACACGCAGCGAGTCGTGCGTGCTGGAACCGACTAACCACCGCACGCACGTGTATTTTAGGGGACAGTTCGGTAATTTCAAAGAAAAAAATCAATTCTTAACGATGCATATGATATGTTATACACACTCCACGTTATTTTTGAGTTGTCATTGCCGAGGCACGTATCGGACTTTTAGTGAAAAACTGGTTTGAACTTGCATTGATAATGGAAAATGCAATTTTATTGGCACTTTATCGAATCGCAACCACCTACTGGCGCCGATTGCCCACCGATGAGTCGATTACGTGAATCATCGGACTCCCAGCAATTTGTATCTTTCCGTAGATCGTCTAAACGTAAAATTAATTCGTTCCTTATCGTCTTGTCGCTAAGTCACGATAAATCACCGATCGTCGGATCGAATGGCTCGATCGAACGATATAAACGGTTCGATTTAGAAAGTCCTCGCTGAGCGCGCGCGGTTAATGTATTATAATCACTTAATTACGTCTCAATTAAGGGCATGATTTAGTGGTTTCAACGAAACGACCGTCCGATGTTTTCTATCACGCGGTGATTGAGATACTGAAGACAAAACGGTGAAATGTACGTGACTATAACCGGCAGATCGCTCTCTATCTCGTTCCAACGATCCCCTGTACGTGTGTACAACAGTTAATAACGCGCTTCTACATAAATTCAGGTGCACTTGAGCGTATGCGTTCGCACACAGGTAGACCGTTCGCGGCGCGCAGACAATAACCGCTCCGAACGCTTCGTAATTTCGAGGCCTTATCTGTTTACTTTGCCAGATCTCGACGGTTGTGCAATTAACAGTAAAAATGTTACCCAGTCATCCGGAAAACGATGCTGCTTGCTTCTATGATAGATGTGCTCGATTTCGCATAATATTCACAATTCTCTATAATTCCTCTAAACATTTAATGAATTTACGAAATGCTCAACTCAGCAGTTCGGTGTGAAAATTAATCAATGTTTGGTGAAATCGTTGTCTAAGGTGTACACAACTCCGTCAGGATGTTTCGAAAGTCCACACGAGGCGCAGTGCAAGCATCCGAAAGGATGTCTTTAATGAAATATGAGAAGTATATACTTGGAGTTATATTTGGATAAATAAGAGAGACCCGACGTAAAATTAATTTTAGTAAAATTGCGAGCACGAGTGAATATACGAGCACCCTATCGATAGGTAATTCACCCCGGTTACTAAGCGTAATCTCGACTGAGAAACCTTCCTCGCCAAGTCTCCGAGTACGTTGCTACCTAATAG